AGAAAAAGGGGAAGACCCCTAACGAGATGGAATGGCCAGGTGGCATCATTGATGGACTCAAGTGTGGCAGCGGTAGTTAGGTTGGCCTAGGATCGGACATTGTTTCGTTTTGCTGTGCATGGGGTCACTATGAGTCGGTTCCGACTCGATTGCACCTGACAACAACAACAACAAAGATTTACAGCCTTGGAAACGCTGTACAGGGTCACTATGAGATGGAACCGTCTCACAGTACAACAACAACATATGTGAAAGCAAAAATAATCACAAAATACAAGACTCATGTTATTGTAATATGCTGTATTCACTTCCATAATCTAAGAAAACAAAATACAAGCAATGAACTTCTATCTTGTATGCTTACCAACCAATAACCTTTAATGCCCTGGGCAATTATTTCTATTGTTAACATTAGAGTTTTAATAAAGAGTTAACAGAACCACTCTTTATTATAATTATGTTACAATCACTCTTTGGAAGGATATTTAGCTAGCTGGTATAGCTCTGTGGATTAATGTGCTGGACTGCAAACTTGGTTTGGACCTGTAAGTTCAAGCTCCTCGGAAACCCTGGTCTCTATGGGTCAGAACTGATGCAACGGTACCTAACAATAGTGTTGCTTCCAAAACTACTAAACTGGGTTAGTAAAAACAGAGCTAATGAGTATCTTTCCTATTAGAATGAAATCTAAGTTCCAATGTCACATAGCTAAATTATTATATAGAAAAATTAACTACAGTAAAATCCGAGAAAGTTGGAGTCTGTGTAAGGCAGAGACCTCTCAGAGAAGGAAACTAAAATATTTTCCATTGACAAAGGTGGAAAATGTGTGACATGTGGAGATACAGTGGAGTTCCGGCTCTCACAGGCTTCACTGTATAGTCACAATTTACTAGGCTAGGTATCAATTTCCAAATGTATAGCATTTGATAATCAGTTTTATTTAAAATAATATTCAAGGAAATATAAATGTATCTAATACACTATTATACCAATCACATAAAGGTTGACTGTTATTGTTGTTAGGTGTCATCGAGTTGGTTCCTACCCATAGTGACCCTGTATAGGGTTTCCTAGGAGTGGCAGTAAGCTTGAACTGCCAACCTTACGGTTCAAATGACTTTGCAGTCCAGTGCATTAACCCACAGCGCCACACCAGGACTCCCACATAAAAGCTGATAACTTTGTAAAAATCTATCACTATATAAAATTCTGGACTCCTGGTGTGGCACTGTAGGATCAGCACTGGACTGAGAACTCCAGGTTGGCAGTTAAAAGTCATTAGTCACTCCTTGGAAACTCTATATAGAGTTGCTATGAGGCGGAACTGACTTGACAGCCATTAACAACATCATATGATATTACCTAGGAGTTCTGGTGTGGTGCTGTAGGATCAGTACCGGACTGCGAACCACGAGGTTGGTAGTTAAAACCCATTAGTCACTCGTCTATACAGGGTTGCTGAGTCAGAACCGACCTGAAGGCACTTAACAACAACAGTATCATCTGGGTTAGACATAAAGCTGATAACATGTAATTTTGCATAACACACTGGTGAATCAGAGAAAAAAGGCACCATACCCAAATGTAACAATACAACACGTACCAAAAGTTTCATCTTTCTTATCAAGGCGAAGGTGAGCTCTAACCTGCCCAGGTTCGCAGCCATCACAGGTATCACTGCCTGGGTGAATGTGAAAGGACAGCACCGTCTCTCCAATTTTCACTTCATCTCCGTGCTCAAGAACATACGGATCACATTTAGCTTTAGGCTGGAGGAGGGAAAAATCACAAGTTGGTTATAATACAGAGTGGTGATTTTACGTCCACGGTAAGTCATATCTGGCTATAATGAAAAATATTATTTGACATGGCTTTTTGTGATAGATTCACATTGTATACACATGCGTACATTTCTACAACTTCACAGATGTTCTTCTATGAGAGAAGAGGGGAGCTAAACTGAGCATCTTATCATTTTTACTGATCAAATCTACCCTTTATGTTCAATGCCACCAGAAATAGCCAAACCAAAACTTCAAATAAACCACTATCAAAACAATAACTAATTAAGAAACTGGAATACAATTTTTTATTGCATGTACTGTGCCCAAATAACGTGCACATGGCATATAATATGTATAGAACACTCAGAAAAAATGATATGTGCAAGGGAGTTTCATGGTTTGTTAAAAAAAAAAAAAACAAAAAAAAAAACTATGTTATTTGTGTAAAAAATAGCAATAAAAAGTGTATCATATCTCCCTTTTTTTCCTTGATAATTCAGTTTTGTCTCATTGCTTATTCTATTAAGAGTAAGTCTTTCCACTCTTCCATATATTTTATCATGTGCCAAGCACTTGAGAGTTATCTAGAGAGGCATATCTGTCTTAAGGAGTTTACAATTTAGCAACATTCACATTAAAACAAATTTTAAAAAGAATGTTATCTCTAAACAGGTCTAAAATACATCGATATTTAAGAATAAAATCAAACTGCCAACCTTGTGACTCACAGTCCAGGTAGCGTAGTGGTTACGAATCGGGCTGCGAACCTTAAGGTCAGCGGTTCAAAACTACCAGCTGCTCCGCGGGAGAAAGATGAGGCTTTCTACTCCCGTAAAGATTTACACCCTCGGAAACCCTGTACAGGGTCGCTATGGGTCGGAACCG